TCCTTCCACAGATAATTCGTAATAGGTGCTTTCCATTTGATGATACAAATCGACACAAGTGTAGTTCTGTCTTTATTACTCACTAATTGCCCGTGTCTACCAATGTAATTTAATTTTAATCTCGGTTTAACTAACTCTTCTTCTTTTTCTCCCTAGTTATAAAAAAAGATGAAGAGTAAGTTGAAGACTGAGATTAAAGTTAATCTCAATCTTCAACATTGGTATAGAAACCTGCATAAATATCAAGAAAGATAAAATAATGCTTGGGTCGACTTGTATCACTAAATGGAAATCTAATACAGATCAGATGAGACACGTGAATCAGATGGCAAAAGATTATACTTTTTTTAAGAACAAAACATGATGTTTTTTTTAAACACGTTTTTAATTAGGGATGCACCGGATCGTAAAATTAACGGATACCGGATCCGGTACAAAATATGTTATACAAAATATAACATCGGATATCCGAGAAGGTAATTTCTTCGAGTCGGATATCCGACATTTTCCGGATATCCGATCGTATTCCGGAAAAATGTCTTAAAAAAAGCCTATAGAGAAAAAATTGTAATGTTGCAACAATGTATAAGATATTATAGCATTATGAATATGCATACTTATTTTTAGAACATTTGTATAATATAATAAAAAATCAACAATTTAATGATATCAAATTTCAACCGGATATATTCCCGGATACTAATGATATCCGACTATCCGGTCGGATAGTTAAATATATATAATAGTAAAAAAGTGCCGGATAATATCGAATACCGGATACTTTCCGAATATCCGGTGCATCTTTTTAATGCTTCATACATGTTTTAATCATTATAAAAAAAGAACATGTTTAAAACGAGTTAACATCGAACGGTTTAAACAAGTTTAAAAGATGATTTTTATCAACACTAACGTTAACACCAAGGTACCGTCGCGATCGGCTGTTTACCTCACGAATATTACGTCACAATAACGTCACATATGCACGGGATTTAAATATTCGCGCCGCTTATTATTAAAAGCTTGAGTAATTAGCGCATTCTGTCACATTAGTGAGCGATAATTGATTATAAAGTGAGAAACCTAAATCGTTATTTCGCATGATTTTTCTTCAAGCTGTGCACGACATGTATTACGATACTTGGGAGCCAGGAAGATTAATTGAATCACTGGTTAAATATTTTGATGAAATTTTCACTTCGTTGGATATATATATATACATATATATGTATATATATATACACACCTGCGATAGGTATGTGCTGTCAATATGTTAATTTCCACGGAAGAAACATTGCTGCTAAATTATTGAGATCTTATCGAAGCTTACTATGTTTAGTTATATTTGTTACGAAAAAGATTCTGGCTATTCCTAAATCGATTATCATCTGGGAATTCCACGTCGCTTATCGCTTTATGTATGAATGACGATTATGTATAACGAATGATTAAGTATGAATGATTTTAAAACGATTTTTACTTTATACATGGAGTAAAACAAATACATAAAATGTTTATACTTAACAAAAAATAAGATTAAATATTCTATTAATTCTTTGTAAATCGACAACCTCGTTTGAGGTTACCCATTTTTATTTTATAAACTGATCGCTCAATTTTTATAAAACGTGGCCTGTGGGGTATTTGATAATGCTTTCGAATCTAAGGTCAAAAATAAAAAATTTTAAATGGTGGATTGAATATAGCGGATAGAATTTACAAAAAAATATTATTTGATTATTATAAAATTAGATTTTAGGGAGTTTTTAATTGCGATGTATTACATCAAATTTCTAGTTCCACTTTATTTGAAATTTATCAGTGCTACGTAAACAGTTAGTTGACTTTTAAATTCTAATTTACTTACTCTAAATGATACTATCTTTAATTTTTATACAATGAAACCTAAGTATATATTATATATACGTATATCTTATTAAAGAATCTTCCTATTCCAATCAAAATGGTTTAAATTCCTCTTAAACGAAATTATTATATCACAATTTATTCAGACATTTTCTCTTCCAACTAAAATAGTGATTATTTAATTCTCCTTCAAAACATTATACAAAACATTATCACAAAATTGCGTTATCTTGCTCCGTTTAAGTGTTACCACAAAAAATTAAAGAATTAACCGTATAAAATAAAAAATTTAATTTAAATAGAAAAATTTTTCATGTAAAAACACTTGGCGCTGCTAGATCTCGATATAATAACATAGTAGTAAAACATGAATATAAATAAGAAAATAAGAATACAATACTTAAAATAACAACATAAATAAGAAGCATTAATAAGAAAAGTTAGAATCACACATATTAAAAAATATGAATACTTGGAAACTAAGAAAAATAAAAAGTATTCCCAATGAGCGTTAAAGTATCTAGCGTGTGTATATATGCGATTGAGTTATAGAGTCGTGTAAATTATGAACGTTGTGAATGCTATTAAATTTAAGTCTAAGAAAAATTAATTTAGATTTGTAAGACATGCGTTATGAAAGAGAATTTATTATAACTTTTATTATTATTTTTAAATTATAATTACCTTTTATTATTTATTTTTATTAATTACCATTCTGATTTTAAATTGTTTTTATAGTTTTTCTTACTTGATCTAGTAGCGCCAAGTCTTTTTACATGAAAAATTTTTCTATTTAAATTAAATTTTTTATTTTATACGGTTAATTCTTTAATTTTTTGTGGTAACACTTAAACGGAGCAAGATAACGCAATTTTGTGATAATGTTTTGTATAATGTTTTGAAGGAGAATTAAATAATCACTGCTTTAGTTGGAAGAGAAAATGTCTTTGAATGAATTGTGATATAATAATTTCGTTTAAGAGAAATTTAAACCATTTTGATTGGAATAGGAAGATTCTTTAATAAGATATACGTATATATAATATATACTTAGGTTTCATTGTATAAAAATTAAAGATAGTATCATTTAGAGTAAGTAAATTAGAATTTAAAAGTCAACTAACTGTTTACGTAGCACTGATAAATTTCAAATAAAGTGGAACTAGAAATTTGATGTAATACATCGCAATTAAAAACTCCCTAAAATCTAATTTTGTACAAATAATACATATCGTTAGATTAATATTCATTATTTATTTACTTTAGCATGGTATAAAGAAGTGGGATTTAACTTGGCGCCAGTTCTTGATATCAAATCTTTTATAGGAATGATACATATCATTAAAGTTAATATTATTTATTTAATTTGGTATCCGAATTACATGAAACTTAACTTGGCGCCAATTGTTTAAGTTAACATTCTAGATCCTTCTTTATGGAAGCTACTATCCTTTTAAAATTAGATATTTTCGTGCTGCATTCAAACTTAAATATTATAAAAAACCTAAAACCAAGATAATCCTGGTAATCAGATTATTTTGGAATTTGAATTTTAGAATTCTGAATCGAGAATCGAATTCAGCGACCCTGAAAGCCTTTAGAAATCAAGATCTTTGACAAGTTACTTTGTTAGAAAGCTCTGACCCTCATCAAAGATTTAAGAAAGAATGAGAAGAGAAAAAAGGTAGTACAACTAAAAAGTTACACTGTTAGGTAACCATCTTCGAAATAGCGTTTTCCTTCTTGTGAAGATTATCTTTCTTTTCACTGAATGAAGGAAAACAACTTCAGTCGTATACGTTTCAACACTAAAACCGACAATGGCATCCCGCTGAATTGTCGAATGTGTCCATTTGACGATTTCTTATTTTTCTTTTCGGTTAATAAAGATTTGTTTTGACATTATTTTTTATATATCACTTAAAGTTTAATAGCTTTTCGCTAGAAAAAAAGTCGTTATAATTTAGAGCAAAAGCTAAAGACTTACTACACCTATTATACATACAGAAAATTATCATTCTATTGCAAAAGTAATTACTCAATTTACTTTCTTCCTTTTAAGTAATCGTTATCTTAACAAAGAATATTTTCTTGATAGTGTAATCTTAAAATATTTATTACAAATATACTTAATATTTATTATATAATTATAAATTTAAAAAACAATACTTAAAGCAAGAATTTATTTTCTTTTGAAGAATATTATAAAATGGATGAAAGAAGTGACTTTATATAATAAGCAAATCAAATTTATTTTAATTTAATAATCTTGATTAAAGTATTAAACTTACTAGGATTCAGAATATATTTTGAATAAATTTGATGCTTGTGGGAATTTATAGATTTGCGGATATATGAACTTTTAAAATACACATGATACTTTTGAAACACAAAAGTACATACTGTACAAGTAATAATCCACTACTTGAAACACGTACTTTTCTGTGTGTAGACAAGAGAGAAGAAAGAGGGAAGGGCTAACAATAAGCTAAGGCTGGAATCAAACTACGCATTGAAGATTGAGATTGAAGAGTGAAGATTGAAATTTGACCAATGAGGACAAAGGGATTTTAGCTTCTATTGTTATGATTGGTCAAATTTCAATCTTCAATCTCAATCTTCAATGCATAATCTGATTCCGGCTTAAGGGTGCTATTTCATTTGTACGTTTTTTCGTACGATGTACTGTGTACAGAACAGAGAGGTCCTCAGGGTCTCTATTCTTGAAAAGAAACGTATACGAAATTCTAGAAAAATACTATAATATACGTAACTGTAGTATTTCTTTAGACTTTCGTATACGTTTTTTTTTTTCAAGAATAGGGGCCCAGATCTCTCTATCCGATAGCCAACCTACAGGCTTGAAAAATTTGTCGTACGACAAAAACGCACAAATGAAATATCACCCTTAAGGATCATACTAACTGTAAATTGTTAACTTATACTGTAAGCTATAAGAAATTGATCAATCACAGTCGAATGTGAGGAAAATAAAATCGATTATTCTCCTTATATATTCAATTGTGAATAGTCAATTTCTTATAGCTCACAGCATAATTAAGTTAACAGTTTACGGTCGGTACAAATGATTCTTAAATCTATACAAGAGAGCGAGGCAAGCGATTTTCTCTCACCGTCATGTTGTTCTCCACGACGTATTCGATGCTGCACATCTGATAGACAAAATAGGCGCGCATCAACTCCATAGTCGTCTTGCTTTTAAAGGCGGCGATTGGGTCGTTAAACTTCAAATCGAGCGGGTCGATTTGCCGAGGCACCGCCGATTGTTGCTGCTGTCGTTGCTTCTTGACGTCAGTGACGGCGGCGGAGGAGGTGGCATAGCTACGCACCTGTGCAACCAACCGCAATGACGGTGGTGTCCTAGTAACCGCCGCCGCCGCCGCCGTCGTAGTCGTCGTCGTCGTCGCCACGGCGTTCTCCAGGAGGCCGATCACAGTCAACGGCGAAGCGCCGCACTTGACCAGCTTTTTACCGGCGCAACATCGCCGCGGCACGCTCCTCAGAAACGCCATCGTTTTCGGCGCGCGGCAATGAAGGAAGGTGAACGAGAGAGGGACGATGAGAGGGAAGGAGGAAAGAGGGAATTATTAGCGAGCGAGAGAGACCGTCGGCGACGCGGCTTCCGCGTCACCGAAACGGGATACCACTTTCTCACCGAGGCTGGCTTGGTTCTCCCTCAGGTTGACGAACGGAGCTTTAAGGGACGGGAAAGAGAGGATACAGGAAGGAGGGAGGGCGAAGGACAAGTCGTGACAAATCGCGCGGATGATCGGCTCGTCGAGAACCTGCCGAGAATCGAGTCGGAAATCTCGGTGAGAGAGCCGGACGAGGGTACCCAGGCGAAACTATCGGTTTCCCCGATGTGCAGGAAATTAGGTCCTGTCGTTGCCGCCGCTGCTACTGATCGACGTTGCCTTCGTCCCTTCTCGCGATACACTCGATGACGTGCGCGTGTTCAGTAACGAGAATCGCAGAGCGAAGCGACGCGGCGCGACTGACCGGTGATGACAGGATGACGGTGGCCCCGTCGTCGTGACACCGTCGACGTGAGAGCTGGTGAGAGCGAGCTCCGCGACGTGGATTGAGAGCAGTTGGGAGAGCGCGCGAGTAATAGCACGGCAAATGGCGACCGGCCGCCTCTGCTCTCTGCCTCACGACGCGACGGGAATATTGATTTTCGTTCGCCGGGGACACCACGTTCCGACTACGTACGATACCGTGGCCACCGGATCCGCGGACGGCTTAAATATAACGCGCCAGCGTCGATCGGAATTTCGTCGACGCGCCTCGTTCCCCCGACTAGCGCGCCGCCGTTGCCGCCGCGTTCCCGCGACGCTGATTGGCCCGCCGACGGAGGCGTGCGCTCCCGACCGCCACTCCGATTGGCGGTCTCTCTCCTTTTTTCGCAAATATGTGCGCGGAGACGAGCTGCGCACAGTGGCGTCGAAAATCATATTACCCGGAGCACCGACGAGATATTATTAAAGACCGACATCCTTATGGGAGTTCGCGTCCTTGTTAATATTGAAGTGATTAAGAGTAAAAAAA